TGTTCTTAACAATGTCATGATGTTGGAAAGTTTCTGCAGGCTAACTGTAAGTAACTGGTCAAGAAGGGACATTTACTTCCTGACTACTTCCAAGGTCTCCTGAAAAGCAACCATGGGCAGACTTCTGTAAACTCACACAACTTCTACCTGTAGTAGGTAAAACAGGTGACTTTCTTAGCATAACATATAAGTCACAATGTAAAATTAAATGGCAAGCCAGGCCTACATCTTCCCAGGAACCCTAAACATAACACTCTAGCATGAATTGGTGCTGACAGAAATAATCCAAGTTGGTCTACTAAGTGTGAAAGTAGGTCTCTGCTCAACAAAGAGCCAAAGCTGTTTGGCACATTTGTTGACCAAAGCTATTTGGCACATTTGGTTGGCCAAAAAAAAAAAAATTATATGTACTACAATACTGGGACCTAATATTAGGAACCAAGAAAGTCCTGCCATCCCAGGATTGTAGTAATTATTGTGATCTTGAGTTTAAATATTCACTGAAAAATAGTAAATAGTATTAGATATCTATTAAGAGGTTAGGTTTAGATAGGTCTTAGAAAGGTAACCACAAAGTAAGGCTCAAAAAGTTTAAGTAACTTATTCAACATGTTAAGGAAGAACACAATTGGAGTTAAAGGAACTTGTGTATAACTTCAATACTATGCTCATTTCACTGTCTCTTTGCATAAGGAACAGTATATACAATGTCCCTAGACAATGTCCACCCCAATTGGAAATCCTGCCAAGATTCAGTTGCGCAGAGCTCCATGTTTTTTTTATCTAGTACAACCCTGGGATCTTATTTTTAATTAAAATGCTTGAAAGTAGAACAAGGACATTTATGCATAGCAAGATTCTTCTCTTCCCTCAAATAAAACAATATAAAATACCAGACAGCTTCGGGCAGATCCTGCTTCTGTCACTTCCTGGCAACAAGTACATGAGAAATCTTTGTGGAGCTCTGGCCCACTGCCGTTTGGGGACCCACCCTGCTGCCACTGAAACAGAGGACATTGATCCAGGCCCATTTGACCCTACAGGCTTGCAATAGGCACAGGGATACATAATAGAGCATAGTATAGTAGAGAAGGCTCTTTAAACTCTGGATTTTAATGGAGTGCTAGTGTGAGTAGTAAGAGAAAACCACTGTATTTAACTTATACTATCCCACTAATGAAATGGACCTGCAAGCCACACCACATGCCCCACACTCCTAGATGGCCCACGAGCCTTCCCATAACAAGGAAGAAAGCTGTACAAGGGTACATCTTTGGAGGATGTTTTAGTCCATTTACAATGCTGTAACAAACCATCTTATCATTGTGTAATTTATAAGCAGTATACACGTACTGTTCACAGTTCTGAGGTGAGGAATCCCCAGACCAAAGCACTAGCAGATTCAGCGTCTGGAGAGGGCTTGTCTGTTTCAAAGATGGTGCCCTGTTGCTGGAAAGTCGCATGGCAGAAAGGCAAAAGGGAGTAATTACTAAGAACACCAATCCCATCCGGAGGGCTCTGCCCTCATGATCACCCTCCCACTTCTCAACATCTCACAGGGAACTAGGCTTCAGCAATATCCATTGGTGCAGGACACATACAAGGAGTCTTCAAAAAGTTCATGGAAAATGCACTTTATGGATAAACTTCAGGGATTTCAAAAATTTCTACATCAAAATAAAGCTATTTTTAATTCTAATTTTCCATGAACATTTGAGGTACCTTCAAAAATGAAGACCAAAGCAGGGAACAATATCTTCTCATTACCAGCCAAGCTATAAACCCCTAAAAATCGGACTCATCTAGCATGATTCGGAGATGTGACTGCTATCCCCAAAGTAGGAGACTATGGAGGGTGCAGTATTCTGCTGGTTCTGTCTGAAGAGGCTTCTGAAGCAAACTTGCCTCCAAGACCTTGGCCTAAGTGGCCCCTTTATTCTCATGCAAAAATTCCACTGCTGACCAGTAATTAATACAATTCTGAATTTCAATACTTGAGAGATAGTTACAGATTTCAACAGTGATCTCTCATTCAGGTAGCTATTCTCATTTTTTTCTTTAGTACTTTTTCTTCTCATACTAAAGGCTCTGATATTTTCTGTTTTTTTTTTTTTTCTTTTAAGAATATAGACAATGGAGTGAATTACCTATTTGCTAATATCACATTGCGGTGAACTAGCTGTGTGACTTTGGAAAGATTATCTAAATTCTTTGTTCATCTGTTTCTTTATCTCTTACATGGTAATAACAATTAGGCCTATCTTGCACATTTTTGGTAGGACTGTATAAGACAAACATGTAGAATGCCTACAATGGAGTTTAGCAGAGAGCCAGCACTTAATCAATGATATCTAGTGTCACAATGGGCTTATTAAGAGCTGAGCTGAGCAGTCAACGGTTAGAGTGGTCAATTAAAGCCACAAGCCAAAAGGAAAGAAATAGTCAAGCCTTAATCACTCACTGCGATAGTATCAATAAGAAGCCTAACAGAGAGAGTGCTCGCACATTCGTTGTTGAACTTTTCCCAGTGAAATGGAGCTGAGTGGTGGCACAGAGCAGAGGAGCTGTAAGAATCTCCCCAGGGGCCTGTGCTGTGGTGCAGTAGGTTAATCCTCTACCTGTGGCACCGGAATCCCATATGGGCACCAGTTCTAGTCCCGGCTGCTCCACTTCCAATCCAGCTCTCTGCTATGGCCTGGGAAAGCAGTGGAAGATGGCCCAGGTCCTTGGGTCCCTGCACCCACCTGTGAGACCAGGAAGAAGCACCTGGCTCCTGGCTTCGGACCAGCATAGCTCTGGCCAGCGGAAGGAAGACCTCTCTCTCTCTCTCCCTTTCACTGTCTGTAACTCTACCTCTCAAATAAATAAATAAATAAATGATTTTTTAAATGAATATTCCAGCTGCTGGGGGAGCCCAGAACAAAAAGCTCCTTCTCTCCTGGTTCCAGGGGACACAGGGAGAGGGTAGAATGGGCAAACACTGAATAACTATGTCATACTGGAGGAAACTAATCTTCTGAATTCCCCCTTGGAAATGGCAGACTACTAATGGGACACCCAGTTGGAAAGCAAGAGCACTCACTATCACAAGGTCTGTCAGATAAAGTTTTCATGTGACCATAGAACTGCACATAAAGGGCCAATTCTCTGATGCAGTGAGCCGGCATCCCATATGGGTGCCTGTTCCAGTCCTGGCTGCTCCACTTCTGATCCAGCTCCCTGCTAATGCTCCTGGGAAAGCAGTGAAAGATGACTCAAGTCCTTAGGTCCCTGCACCCAGTGTGGGACCTGGATGAAGCTCCTGGTTTCTGGCCGTGTGGGAAGTAAACCAGCGGATGGAAGAACTCTATCTCCCTCTGCCTGTCTCTCTGTAACTCTTTCAAATTAGTAAATAAATCTTAAAATAAAATAAGATTTGGGCCAAGGTCTGATTCCCCTTGTTATTATTTTTTTTGTTTGTTTGTTTTGTTCTGTTTTGTTTTTATGGGCAGAGTGGACAGTGAGAGAGAGAGAGAAAGGTCTTCCTTTGCCGTTGGCTCACCCTCCAATGGCCGCCATGGCTGGCACGCTGCGACCGGCGCACCGCGCTGATCCGATGGCAGGAGCCAGGTGCTTATCCTGGTCTCCCACGGGGTGCAGGGCCCAAGCACTTGGGCCATCCTCCACTGCACTCCCTGGCCACAGCAGAGAGCTGGACTGGAAGAGGGGCAACCAGTAAAGAATCCGGCGCCCCGACTGGGACTAGAACCCGGTGTGCCGGTGCCGCAAGGCGGAGGATTAGCCTAGTGAGCCGCGGCACCGGCCTATTGGTTGTTAATCATACACACACACACATAATCAATCACTTTGTACATAATTACTTGGAACAATGTAAATGCCACTGATATTTCACTGGGTAGAAGGAACATGTGTGAACTTCATCCAAATAACAACAACCAAAGGAGTTCTCAGTAAGCATTTGTGGATTCCAAGTTTCTTTTTCTTTTTTTCACTTGTAATTTTGTTCGTGTTGGGAGACTATACATTTGGCAGAGCAATGGAGGTGCTGATTGGAACACCCACATTTCGTATCAGAGAACCAAGATTTCAGCCCTCCCTCTGCTTCTGATGCCAGGTTTCAGCTAATGCACACCCCCAGGAAGCAGCAGATGACAGGTCAAGTGCTTTGTTCTCTGCCCCTCACAGAGGAGATTCAGACTGAGTTCCCAGCTCCTGGTTTTGGCCTGATCAGCCAAAGGTGGGCTGTTGCACACCTTAGAAGAACGAATCAGAGGATGGGGTCTTGGTTCTGTCTCTGTCTCTCTGCCAATCAAGTAAATAAATAACCAAAAAGAGTTGCTTATAATTGTGATAAAATACACATAACATACCATAACATTTATTTCCTTATCATTTTTAAGTGGACCGTTTGGTAGTTTTCAATACGCTCACGGTATTGTGCAACCTAGCTCTAGGCCTCTTCCTCTTGCAAGAAATACCAAGAACTTTCCAAACTCAACAATTAACACCCTATCCCTCTCACCCCTGTCCTGTGACGTTTTCTTTTAATACTATCTCCTATTCCTAAAGGTTCCTCCTCTCTCTTTTCATCCCTATTATGTGTAACAGTTTTGTCTCTTCATTGTCACTAAGGCCAAATTGTAGTCTCTTTGTCTCTCTGGTCTTCTGAAAAACAAAGTCCCTCATCCCCTTATCCCCAGAGTTAATGGGATCCACCTTCCTTAGAAGGGACTGCAGCAACTGCTTTTAATGCTAAGTATTCCCTTTGCAGTCCTGCTTTTCCAAACGTAAATGATGCTTACCACACAAGAGTCTAGGAACAGCATCCCTTCCATATTATTATAGAATGAAATTACAGGGACCATGCATTTGGTAGGAAGAAAAGGCTACTGCTTTTACAGCCCCATTTCTGCAGCAATCCTCAACACAGTAAAACATGCAGTGTGTACACACAATCACGCATATTTTCAGGTGATGTTTGTTCCCTTTTGGCTCCTCAGGCGATGTGCTGACATTCTTGGATTCTCATGTGGAATGCAATGTTGGGTGGTTGGAACCACTTCTGGAAAGGGTTTACTTAAGTAGAAAGAAAGTGGCCTGTCCAGTAATTGAAGTCATCAATGACAAAGACATGAGGTAAGATTGCCACATTCCGTAAGATACTGCTAAGACTTCAATCACAATAGCACCAAGTGCTGGGCACATTCCTAATATGTTCAAAATATATAGTTTATTCATTTAAATAAATGGAAATGCATGATCGATATCTTGGAATCAGAACCCATTAGTTCAATAACCTATTTGGTCTCCGCAAATTCTTAGCCATAAATGTCAATAAATTGCAATGACCATTGATTGTTTGCTTCTTTCCACTTTATATTCAACTAACCCCTAATGCCTATTTTCTAAATTTAGGTTTATTTTGTGGGAAACATCTGTGTGCTTCTAAGTTGTAGTTTCCTCAAAACCAGCCAGAACATTATGAGAGGTGTTCAAAAAGTTCATGGAAAATTCACATTATAAAACACACAATCCATGGATTTCAAAAAGTTTTTGTACCCAAATCAGCAAATCTTTAAATTCCATTTTTCCACAAAAGTTTTGAAATAGCTTCATATTAAAAGATAAGTATGTTAAGGGAAGCAATTCAACCTATTGGTCACTAATTCCAGCTGTCCTTATAAATTTTTTTGAACTGTTATATAAAGGAGATGATTTAAAATCTTCTGATAAAGAACTTCCTTCATGCATTGGAATAAGTGGAATAAGTGGAGCCAAATTGATGAGGTCTTACAAAAATATGTGTACTCTCCCATAACACTTTGTTTTCTTTTCTGGATTAGTTACATGACAGTGGACAACTTTCAAAGAGGCATCTTTTTGTGGCCCATGAACTTTGGTTGGAAAACAATTCCTCCAGATGTCGTTGCAAAGAACAAAATTAAAGAAACCGATATAATAAGGTAAGTATGTGAAAGTTAAGTCTGGGAAGTAGTCACGGGTCTTTTTGTAAAAGCATGGAAATGAAATCACAAAAGAGCTAACCCATCAAAGATTACAAATCTAGCTAATAGATTGCCAAAGCAAATAAAGGTTTCCTGATAAATTAGTTCCTCGCTACTAAAACTCATTTTTTAAAAAAAAATATATATATATTTTTGACAGGCAGAGTGGACAGTGAGAGAGAGAGACAGAGAGAAAGGTCTTCCTTTGCCTTTGGTTCACCCTCCAATGGCCGCCACAGCCAGCGCGCTGCGGCCGGCACACGGCGTTGATCCAATGAAAGAGAGAGAGAATGAGGAAGAAGAGAGATCTTTCTGTTGGTTCAATTGTCAAATGCTTACAACAGCCAAGGCTAGGCCAGGCTGAAGCCAGAAACCTAGAAATTAGTTCAGGTCACCCACTTGGGTAGCAGGAACCTAAAGTACTTGAGGCATCACCTGCTGCTTCCCAGGGAAGGAAACTGGAACTGAAAATAGAGCTGGGATTCTGATGTGCAACGCAGCATCTTAACCATTGAAGCAAACATCACCCCCCCCCCAAAAAAAAAACTCATTTAAAAATGGTCAGTTGCACTCTATGCATCCCTCATTCCAATCAATATCTTTCTTTTTTTTTTTTCTTTCTTAAAGATTTATTTATTCATTTGAAAGTCAGACTTACACAGAGAGAAAGAAAGGCAGAGAGAGAAAAAGGTCTTCCATGTGCTGGTTCATTCCCTAATTGGCAGCAACGGCCGGAGCTGCACCGATCTGAAGCCAGGAACCAGGAGCTTCCTCCAGGTCTTCCCACACAGGTGCAGGGGCCCAAGGACTTAGGCATCTTCTACTGTTTTCCCAGGCAATAGCAGAGAGCTGGATCAGAAGTGGAGCATCCAGGACTTGAACTGGCACCCATATGGGATGCTGGCACTGTAGGCTTCGGCCTTACCCACTACACCACAGTACTGACCTCCCTATCAATTTCTTTCAGCCTGAGCCACAGAACTCACCAGTTCAGTGCTGTTTCTATCCCACCACCCCCTCAACCCTGCCCCAGAAGCTGTCTTTGAAATGCTTCCCAACTCCCACTCAAATATTCAGATGAACAACTAGAAATGTTGAGCTCCCATGAGATGCATGATTAATGAACAAACTCTTGTTTTTGTAGGTGTCCTGTCATGGCAGGTGGATTATTTTCTATTGACAAGAATTATTTTTTTGAACTTGGAACATATGACCCTGGCCTTGATGTCTGGGGTGGGGAAAATATGGAGCTGTCATTCAAGGTATGACCAAGTGTTTCTCAAGTCTTCGGTATAATTAAGAGCTCATCAGTTTTAAATGGCTTCACTTTACTACAACAACAAAATATGCCACTAGAATGAAGAAGTTTCACAGAAATTTTAGGACCTCTAGATTAGTTTCTTTATATTCCTGATAGGACTTGAAGAATCATTGCTATCCAATTCATTAGAGTTTCCTAAAAAGCTACAGTACCACTTCTGCGCCTATATGGAGGAATGGCTGTCCTCCATTCAGTGTAAGTGTGTGTGTTTCCAACTTCATACAAAATAACATCCCTGAAACACATCTCTACTTATTCAAAGCAATGGAACCACTCAGTGCTGGATCATCTTGGAGAATACAAACAAGATATAAAGGAGGACTGTAAGGCAGGCCACCCACAAGCCCACTGGTACTCTGGAGGACACCACAGCCCTAAGGGTCTCCCCAGGATGAGAGCAGCAAAAAGTGACAAATGAGCATTCGTACTCCTTTCCCTGATATGAACAAAACACTAACCCATTTCATAGATTTTAGGTGTTGGAATGCTGGGAACATTTCTGTAGAAGTAAAATATCCAATACATTTCATGATAGGAAAGGAAAATTACATTTCATTTGTCCAAAAATGGACCCCAGCGATACATAGCATTAAATAATGTTGTTGGATTCAGTTTTCTACTACAAGAGTGTTTCAGAAGTTCAAGCAGGGAGAAGCAGCTACCAGGTGGTTTCATGCCATTGTTCCTTGCTTAGGAGTTACAGAGAATCATGTGCAAATTGATGCTTAACATGCAATCGTTCCAGGTGTGGATGTGCGGTGGTGAAATTGAGATCATTCCCTGTTCTCGTGTGGGCCACATCTTCAGAAACGACAACCCGTACTCCTTCCCCAAAGACCGGATGAAGACCGTGGAGAGGAACTTGGTGCGAGTTGCCGAGGTCTGGCTGGATGAGTACAAGGAGCTCTTCTACGGCCACGGCGACCACCTCATAGAGCAAGGGCTGGACGTCGGCAACCTCACCCAGCAAAGGGAACTTCGGAAGAAACTGAAATGCAAAAGTTTCAAGTGGTATTTGGAGAACGTCTTTCCCGACTTGAAAGCTCCCCTTGTGAGAGCTGGTGGTGTGGTGAGTTCAAGTGCCAAGTGGAAAGGAGGCCACAGTGGGGAGTGCTTCCAGCGCGAGTACTTGGGAGAGCCTAAGGGAGGAACTCAAGAACTGGAAAGAAGGTGGATACTGCTGTCAGGGTGTGACAGAGGGAAAAACAGCAGCAGAAAAAGGTGGCGAGGGAGGCATCAGACCACACAGCTCCTTGTAGACACTGTAAGGGCTGTCTCTCCCCTTCCTTCCTTCCTTCCTTCCTTCCTTCCTTCCTTCCTTCCTTCCTTCCTTCCTTCCTTCCTTCCTTCCTCCCTCCCTCCCTCCCTCCCTCCTCTCTCTCCTCTCTCTCCTCTCTCCACTTTTTCTCTCCTTCCTTCCTCCCTTTTTCTGAGTGTAATGGGAAATGACTGAGCGAAGTTAAGCAGTAGGATGACAAGATTTCATTAGGAATGTTTAAAGTTTCAAAGAAGAAATGGAAATAACAGAAACTGTCAGACAGTGAAAAGTAAAATCACAGGGCATGAGGGAGGGCACCAGAGGCGCACGAGAGTGATTTGGTAGAGTACACAGCTGAGTACACAGGGCAGAGGAGACCTGGGGACAGCAGCGGCAGCCCCTTTGCAGGAGTGATGCTTCGTTTGAAGAAAATGCAAGGTGTGAGGATGCTGCCCACGGGCAGGTCCGTCCAGGCTCCACCAGAAGCTTCCGGCTCATGTTCATTGCTAGCCTCTTTTATTTCTAGTTTAATTTTGACTTAGGAATATTCCCAGTGCTCTTTTGTTTTCTTTTGTATTTTCATTTTTCCTCATTCACAGCAAACTGCTCTTCTGGGCCACATTTCTCAGTTCTCCCTAGAAACAGGATGACACAATCTAACCATTCCCCATGCCTTGCCAGACTCCTGTTATCATGGACTTTAGTGAAGCACATCCCCCTGTGTTACAGAAATACGGGAGGAGTGTGAAAAATAGGAAACTAGTGTGGCAGTTTATTCTTCTTTATAAAATTCCACAGACAAATAAGTGTTACATAACCTGTTTTTATGTAACATAATTTTTATGAAGTTTCCCTGTTTATACATCAAGATAGAATATATGGGTGCCGGCTCAAGACCCAGCTGCTCCACTTCCTGTCCAGCTCTCTGATGTGGCCTAGGGAAGCAGTAGAAGATGACCCAAGACCTTGGGCCTCTGCACCCATGTGGGAGACCTGGAAGAAGCTCCTGGCTCCTGGCTTCGGATCAGTGCAGCTCTGGCAGTTGTGGCCATCTGGGGAGTGAACCAGCAGGTGGAAGACTTTCTCTCTCTCTCTCTCTCTCTTTCTCTCTCTCTGCCTCTCCTTCTCTCTCTGTGTAACTCTTTCAAATAAATTAATCTTAAAAAAAAACTTTCTCTCTCTCCTTTCACTCTCACTCTGTATCTGCTTTTCACATAAATAAATCTTCTAAAAATCAATAAAACACCAAGATATTTTTTTAAAAAAAAGAATAGCAGCAATTTCAGGTGTCTCAAGCATATTTTTATCTTGGATAAATCAGAAAAAAACACCCTGGTTTATATACATGATTCAAATGGTAACAGATCAAATATACCTGTAAAATAAATTCATTCTTTATTTTCATTCCTCAAGCAGGAGGGAAAAAATGAAGCTCCTGTCATAGTAATTTTTTCTTATCCTAACAGCGCAGAATCTCAGTGAGTGTATTACTAAACTGTAACCACCAGAGGGCACTAAAAACTAGCTTTTAAACTTGTATGTTACGCTCCCACAAAATTTTTGACCAGCATTTTTGAAGAAATAGCCTTCTGCTGATGCCCAAACTACAGTAAATACTTTTTAAAATATTTTTTAAATTTTGTATTTGTCTAAACAGCAGAAAGAAGAGAGACAGATATAGAGAGACAGATAAGGAGAGAGAAATCTTCCAACCACTGGTTCATTCTCCAAACGCCTGCAGTGGTAGGACCAGCCATAGGCGGGAGCCAGGAACCCAGTCCACGTCTCTCATGTTGGTGGGAAGGACCCAAGTATTTAAATCATCAGCTGCTGCCTCTCAGAGTACACATGAGCAGGAAGTTTGAATCAAAAGCAGAACTAGGACTCAAACCTAGGCACTCCGATATGGTATTTAGGTGTCCAAAGTGGAATCTTAACCATTGCAGCAAATGTTTGCCCCTAAAAAGTGATTTTAAACAAATTCCCTTTTCTATTTGCCTCACTGTTTATTGCTTTCCTTGGAAAGATTTTAATAATTTTATCATTTACTCCCTTTGAAACACCCAGTAGGGAGTGTTATTTCTAGTCTACAAAATCTTGGGACTTATCTCCAGGGAATTCCAAATATTTTCAAGAAAATAAACTCAACCCCTTCTTTACTCATGTTTTCCCATCTTTCAAGCTAAATACATAGCAATTTTTTAAAATGTTATTTATTTAGTTATTTGAAAGGCAGATGAACAGAAAGAGACAAAGAAAGAGAGAGAGGTCTTCCATTGCTGGTTCACTCCCCCAATGACCACAATGGCTGGAGCTGGGCTGGTCCGAAGCCAGGAGGCAGGAGCTTCTTCTGGGTCTCCCATGTGGGTGCAGGGGCCCAAATATTTGGGCTATCTTCCACTGCTTCCCAAAGCACATTAGCCAGGAGCTGGATCAGAAGTGGAGCAGCCAGATTTTGAACCAGGGTCCATATGGGATGCCAGCGTCATAGGTGGTGGCTTAACTTCCTTTGCCAAAATGCCAGCCCCTGAATATAATTCTTTAAAATAAAACGCTTTAAAACAGTAAGAATTAGGCCTGTGCCGTGGCTCACTTGGCTAATCCTCTGCCTGCGGCGCCAGCACCCCAGGTTGGGGCATACCCTAGTCCCAGTTGGAACACCGGATCCTGTCCTGGTTGCTCCTCTTCCAGGCCAGCTCTCTGCTGTGGCCCGGGAGTGCAAAGGAGGATGGCCCAAGTGCTTGGGCCCTGCACCCCATGGGAGACCAGGAGAAGCACCTGGTTCCTGGCTTTGGATCGGTGCAGCATGCCAGCCGTAGTAGCCATTTGGGAGGTGAACCAACGGAAAAGGAAAACCTTTCTCTCTCTGTCTCTCTCTCTCTCTTACACCACCTAACTCTACCTGTCAAAAAAAACAAACAAACAAAAAAACAAAAAACAAAACAGTAAGAATTAAATGAAGACTAACAATTTCTTAGCATTTCATAACATGTTTCTATATGAAGGAAAGGGGCATCTCTAGTAATTTCTGATAAGAAGGAAGGGAAAAGTTATGCAGATGAAGTGGAGGAGGGAGACAAAAGGAACAGAAAGTTTTTTGTTTCCTTCCAATGCTTGGAGGAAGAAGTTGAACTGTGTGAACAAACACAAAGAAATCCATGAAACTGAGCGTTCCCAAACACTGTGCTGAGCAGCGGTACTGAGGCTGCCACTGGGTTCCATGGTCACGGAGCTTTGAGAAACACATGCATTCTGACCAGCAGGCTGGGCATTAGCATCCCGAGGGTCCTGGTGAACCTGGTTAGAACAGCCTTTCCAGCTGTGCTGAGACACAGCCTTTCCAAACTTGTTGAAAGATGGATTCTGCATAATCCACAAACACAGGAGCTTCTATTCATTGCTGCCAAGATCTGAAGAACGACTGGGCACAGCTTCCTTTATATTCAAAGATTATTTCATTTTATGCATTTCTGTTCCCTTCCCTGAAGCTCAGTCATTAAATCTGTGTCTGCTTTGTAACTACACCTGTTAGTTGACAGTGGATGGTCCCCTCTCCTGTTTGCTATTTTAGATCACAAATGGAGCTTTCATAGAGGAATGTTGGTGGAGTTTATCCTTCTAGAACTGCTTTTTGCTGTTCAGTGCCGCAAGCCTTGGAAGTTCTCAGCCTAATACTGTTTTATTTAATCTTATTTTATTTATTTGAGAGGCAAAGGGAGCAGGAGAAACATTCACTTCCTGAATGCCCACAATAGCCAGAACTGGGATGAGGCTGAAGCCAGGAGCCAGGACCTCATGTGGATGACAGAAACCCAAATACCCTTGAACCATCACTGCTGCTTTCCAGGATCTGCATTAGCAGGAAGCTTGAGTCAGGAGCCAGAGTCAGGAATCTAACCCAAACATGCTGAGCGGGCATACTAACCAATGTTGACTTCTAAGCTAAATGCCTGCCCCAATCTGGTACAATTTTTAATACTTGTTTCTATTCTCTGAAGGTTGTTAAAGGTTGCCACGCAAGTGTGTAAAATTTCATCTCAAACCCAAATGAAAGTCAGTGTAGGGGTTCAGGATCCCAGGGAAAACCTAGCTTCCCTGTTGGCTCCATGTGCTAATGAATAAATCATTTTTCCTAGTGCACTCTCCATCGAAAGTCTAACTCTTTAGCTTTCCATTTTTATGTGGAAGCCAAAACTCCAACCCTCTGACTTATCCATGCCCAAGTTTTTCTCTCAACCTTAAGAGAAGACAAGTCCGTTGTTTACCAACATTTTCCATTTCCCCTCTAGCTTTTAGCTTCTTCTACATTTTTTCTTCCCTGAAGATGCCCCTTACTTTCTTGCAAGCTGAACTATGCATGTGAAGATGGTCACCAATCACGGCTGCACTGATGCAGCAGCTGAGGCACCTCTCTGTGTTAGGCTCCATGGAACTGGGAGGGGTACAGATAGTGCCCCTGGCAACAAAACCTCACCACCACCACCTCCACCCCACCCCCACTGGTATATGGAATATAGATGCAACACTATGCAGCTCCTCCAGTGATCTGCTAATCCTATATTTCCCTACTAGCCTGCCATCTCATTAGCTCTATCCAGGAGTTCAAAGAGGGTAAATGAATCAACATGTTTCTACAGTAAATGGTGACTTATAGAAAGCTACCTCCATATTTGACCTTGTAAATCCATTACAGACCTGGGAGGCTGCCAGAAAGTGCCTTTATGCTTGGCTGTATGTCAGCTTTCTTGACTGCCTGTGAATTGCAGCTTGCTTGAGTCAATAGGAAGATCTTGACAGGGAATCAGCTGGAATCTGCTGTTCTTTGAAGGATTCAATTCTCTATGATTCAGAATCTAAACAGTCAAACAGCTTGCAAGGGTCAGGCAGGGAACACAGCCCATTACTCTTGATTTGATGAAATTTCAGATATGTGCATTGACTTTTAATATATGCATTAGATAAACTTGAGACAAGAAGCAGTTACTTTCTATCCCACCTTTTGCTCATTTGCTATTTAGTATTCCAGGCAAGGGTTAATTAAAAGCTTCTGTTTGTTGGCTCTGTGGCTGAATCATAGGCCTAAATTGACAGATTGAAGCTGTACTTTAGCAAGATTACATTATGTTTCTGTTAGAGCTAGCAACCAATAAAATCCTATAGTGCTAAGTAATGTGAAGCTATTAACTATCTTTTAACCTTACTATGCTTTTATAGTCTGTTTTCTAAATGTGTCTGAATGTCTTATTCTACAATATGTCTTTCCTGAATTCATATTTTGTATTTTGCTTCTTAGCTTATTAATGTGGCCTTGGGGAAATGCATTTCCATTGAAAACACCACAGCCATCCTGGCAGACTGTGATGGGAGCAGTAAGGTAAGCTAAGCTGGGGTTTTCTAACTCCAGGTAGTTGAGACGATGAGTGTGTGACACATTCAGTGCTCACTTGAGAAATTCACGTTTGCCCAATAAAACTTGTGGTTAATATCTAAGTGTCTAGGTATTTACAAGGAAGTAATAAAATGTTCTACCACTAAATGCAAAGACAGAGACTAAAGAAATAAAAATGTAGAAAGAGAAGTCAACCCATAGCATCAGGATGGATCCAGTCCTGGCTCCTTATTTTGAAAAAGTGTGTTAACTTTCACAAATCCCTTAGCCTTTGGTAAATGGTAGTGATATTAGTACCTACTGTTAGGATTGGTGTGATGGAAGAATTAGGTAACATACATAAAGTGTATAGAAAAATATATCATGCCTAGTGCTCTGTAAATGTTTGCTGCATTGATAATAAGACAAAATGTAGAAAATATAAAGGCAAAATAATGAATAAAGAGAACACATTTGTAGATAATTTAAATTAGGGAACAATTTTATTCTCTGATTCCAACCCCTTTCCTTCCCCCCCACACATACCCCATTCTCTTGCATCTTAACATAGTGATGGAAACCATAGAATCCATGACCCATGGAAGACAACTCTGAAGTGGGACTCCCATAAATTCAGAGCACAATGATTAGGAGAGGGAGTCAAACCAGGGAGAGCAGAACAGGGACTCCTTCCACTGTGCTGGAGGTGAGCTCTGAGTGATCACATTTCCCTCTCCAATGTGTGTTCCTTCACAATTCTTTATTCTGTGGGAACAGTTATCTGGTTTGGGTGCCAAATAGGACTCATAGGAATGTTGACATGCCACTAGAAATTGATCTCCCTAAATTGCAGATCACTCTTGGGTAGACAATTATTTTGTGAAGATAATACTGGCTTGCTGAGTCTTACTTCCTTGCTTTGACTTACTGATACTGCTTACATTTTCAAGCACATTCCATCTGTCCCTCTAAATTCAATGCAGCTACTAGAAAAAAAGACATCTCTAATGCTAAAATTCAGCTATGGATTGTAAATATGAAGCCAAAGTAATGCTTTCTTAATTAGGAAAGAGAGGAGACAGGAAAGTGATTGTGTTAAACAATAAATTGAAAAAAATGATCTTCACTTATTAACAATTCAAAGAGAAAGTAATGTCACAAATTATAAAACAAAACCACAATTAATCCTAATTATTTAAAAAAATAAATAATGCCATCCTTCAAGGCTATATTTATTTATTTATTTATTTATTTTTGACAGGCAGAGTGGACAGTGAGAGAGAAAGACAGAGAGAAAGGTCTTCCTTTTGCCCTTGGTTCACCCTCCAATGGCCGCCACTACCAGCGCACTGCGGCCGGCGCATCACACTGATCCGAAGGCAGGAGCCAGGTGTTTCTCCTGGTCTCCCATGCGGGTGCAGGGCCCAAGGACCTGGGCCATCCTCCACTGCACTCCCTGGTCACAGCAGAGAGCTGGCCTGGAAGAGGGGCAACCAGGACAGAATCCGGCACCCTTACTGGGACTAGAACCTGATGTGCAGGCGCCGCAAGGTGGAGGATTAGCCTATTGAGCCATGGCGCGGGTGGTCAAGGCTATATTTATAGGAAATTTTTGTACCTGAGTAACCAATATTTCACCTGAAAATCCAAATTCTGTTCTTGATAACCACAGAGTCTCTCCAGGGAACGCTAGGGAGCAAACATGAATTATGCAACCTATACATTCCACATAACTCCATCTCTCTCTCTCTCTCTCTCCCCTCTTGCTCTCTGTCTGCCGTATTGCTCATTTTTAGCTTCCATCTATTGCAGTTTGTTTGAATAATAGAAAAACAAAGAAACATGAAGGAAAATAATTTGTTTTAGCAGAATTAGTGAGGCTTAATGCAAAGCCAGGAACTATAGCATTCATGCAAAAAAGCTCAAAAGGAATAAAGTCCATGGATTAAAGAATTAAGCTGTCTCCCTCACCCTACCTAATACATCTCCTTAGTTACTAACTGCTAAAGCAATTGAGAATTCCCTTTGCAAGGTAATATCTAACATCTCTTAGTACCCACACAACCTTTTAACAGTATGCCATTCAACCATGATATTCAAATTTGCATGGGCACACCAATCACCTGGGGAGATTGTTATCACACAGATTCTGATTCCATAAACCTATGGTGAGGTTGAGATTCAGCATTTTTAACCAGCTCCCAGGTGATGCTAATGTTGGTCCAGAGACTATCATTTATGTGCCAAGGGCCAGTACAATGATTTCAATTTAACCTGATAATCTACATGAAATTTGAATTACATTAAAAGTGTTTCATTAAGTAAAGGCATTTAGACAGATTTTACCAGTAGTCTATTTTTTTCAAATACTTGTGCATTAGTATAAAACATCAAACTTCTTGTGACCCAGAGTCTTAGAATAAATTTACCAAATAGCCAATAGAAGTCTGTAAACAACTAGAGAAAATATTTTGTAGGATTGAAAATATTATTCCATTGCCTGAATTTGTATTTACACTAGAAACTTCCCCAAACCAGATTTCTCCAAGAACAGTTATTGTGAACCATGATTCCTGGAGGTATCAACATGGAAAGAGTTGAATCTTTCCTGAGAGTCCAAGTGTCTACACAGTCTTAAGCAAGGAAGCAGAATAATTTCCACCAAAGAAATTTAAGGCTGTAACTTGGATCTCCTGGAATTCCTTCTTGAGTTGGAACCTAAATCATTTGGTACTTTGAACATTTCAATACTGTAAGCACTAAGGGTTGTCTGGGATTGAGAACATCTGAAATGACACCACATGCATATTTACTGATTGTACTACATGATTTCTATTATCACAGTAACATTTATTGAAGGTTTAGTGTAAAACATTTTGCAGGCATTACCCCAACTTTGAGATAGATACTTTCTTAAAAATAAGAAAAATGAAGGGGCAGACATTGTGGCTTAAAGGGTTAAATTGCCACCTGCAATGCCAGCGTCCCATATGGGCACTGGTTCAAGTCTGGGATGCTCCACTTCTGATCCAGTTCTGTGCTAATGACCTAGGAAAGCAGCAGAGAATGGTGCAAGTCCATGGGCTCCTGCACCCATGTGGAAGACCAGCCATTTTTAGAGTGAACTAGCAGATTGAAGATTCTCTCTCTCTCTGTCTCTCTCTCTCTCGTGTGTGTGTGTGTGTTTGTGTGACTCTACTTTCAAATACATAAAATACATCTTTAACAAAAGAGAGAGAAAAAAATGTGAGCAGATACAGTAAGGGCCTATACTAATCACCATGGGAAATGGGAGGACTGGGATTTGAGTATCACATGCCAGATCTGAGTGCCCGTATTCTGAACCATTGCTAACAAAAAGGTAAGATAAAGTCCCTACCTTTGTTTGCTGCCTGGAGTGACCTTCTCTTTATTCATTTTCCTTGTAGCTTCAACAATTTAATTATACCTGGTTAAGATTTATCAAGCACGGAGAATTGTGCCTAGCCTCCATTCCTGACAAAGGAGTCCTAATCCTGAACCATTGTGATAGTAGAAGCCAAGGGCTGAAATGGCTGCATAAATCAGCATCAGCCTTACACCCAAAACTGGTAAGCAAATTCAACTCTCAACCCAAAGGGAGAGAAAACCCTCAATGTCAGTTTCTGAGTGAGGAAGCTTTAAGTGTGTTGATGACAGTCAAGACCATGTAAAAGCTCACCCAGAGAGATAAACAGATTTTTTTTTTTTGTAAATTGCTAAATTTTCTTCTACCAAGTTTATTTCATATCAGATATTTTAAATAGTAGTCAGAAGATTCTTATGATTAGATGGCAATCATTATTATATTTGTTTCTCAATTAAGGATGTATTATTATAATCCTTAGAGAAACCAACTTTTTAAAAATTTTTATTTATTTATTTATTTGACAGATAGAGTTAGACAGTGAGAGAGAGAGAAAGAGAGAAAGGTGTTCCTTCCATTGGTTTACCCCACAAATGGCCATTACTGCCGGAGCTACGCCAATCCGAAGCCAGGAGGCAGGTGCTTCCTCCTGGTCGCCCATGCGGGTGTAGGAGCCCAAGCAGTTGAGCCATCCTCCACTGCCCTCCTGAGCCACAGCAGAGAGCTGGACTGGAAGAGGGGCAACCAGGACTAGAACCCAGTGGCCATATGGGATGCCGGTGCCGCAGGCAGAAGATTAACCAAGTGAGCCATGGCACCGGCCCCTCTCAATCATTTGTTTCAGTCAATTAACAATACCAAAAGTAAGGTTTATAGGCTAGAATTCATTATCATTAGTTATCAGAAAAGCTTATCGGGTTAATATATGGAGAAAGCAAGAAGCAGTGTGTATCCCACAAGCTCTACTCTTTAGAACAAGTCTGCTTCTACCTTCCTCCCCCTTTCCATATAAGAAGACTTTTTCTCATCCCCTGTGATTCCCAGAGACCTGGGTTCTCCTGGATACACAGGAGCCAGCTCTCACTTGCATTCAGGAGCTGTGTGCATATCTTACCAACTTTGCATTCAATGACATCGAATTGGTAGTTTTGAAACCATCTATTATGGGAATATTTACACCCAAAGAAATCATCAAATGCTACTGAATCAGGGTATATTTATTCGGAGGTCTAGTTATTAATAGTCACCCAAACAATGCTGGTCCACTGTATCATTTCTCAAAATTAAGAAATTAGGTAATTATTTCTATCATGGTATGTCTTTTTTTCTTTACTGCTCTCAATCCATCTCATATAATAGATGATACCTGACTTTTTTCTTTTAAATAACAGTTACCAGCCATATCATTATAACACTCATTTTTCCTTCCTGGAGAATTAAAAGTCTTGTAGCTTGAAGAGGCAAGATAACTTAGTTTGAGACAAAGACAAACAATCCTTTCCCAAGGCTATGTATATGTTATTAATTCACTTCAGGAGAATTCCTAAGGAACCAAAAGCTTCAATTCCTGCACACTTCTTTTTTATTTATTTATTATTTCAGTTGTCAAATGAAGGCTGTGGTTCATTCTCAGATTCTCTTTCTCACTAGGTGAATCACATTATTTTTGAAAACTATCATCAGTTGTTATGCTTAGAAGCAAATTTTTCTCAGAAGACCCTGAATGTAGCTGCTTGTGATGCAATGAAGCCACATCAAAAGTGGAAATTTGAAAAGTATTTTGAAGACTGAAGAGGAATCAATACTTTTATCTAATAATTCTGTTAGATGCTGTGAAAATAACAATGGACTTGGTGACTGTATTTCTCCAGGGTTGTTTAAATTTTTAATTTTAGTAGCATTTGAATGGAAGAGTTGAAATTACAAGAGATGACTCAGGGAAGCAGTCCATCATTGGACTGGAGTCCTTCTACAACACGATGTGGCCTCTTAAATTGCCACTTTCCCACCCTGTGTGGGCATTGGTTCTGCAAGTTGCTCCATCTGTGATTACAGGGAACCAGGAATGAAGACAGGCCACTTGAAGAAGCTCACAATGATACTCACAATGATTGTGTTTGATAACAGCCAGTTCTTTTGACCCACAAGTAGGTATAATCAATGAGAGCTTGGTCTTTGATTTGCCATTTTTAAAATACAGCCAAAACTGCTTGGGTTTATATAGAAAGAAAGATAATACATCTATAACCCTGAGTACATCTATCCAGACTACATGCTTGTTTTCCTGATTGTTTGAAATAGTATTGACCAACGATTAAAGACCCTCCTTGATCTAGATTACCAAATAATGCTTTTTCACAGTCTGAGGAGGTGTAAAACGTTTTGCAGAAGGAAGAGTCTTCAAATACTTATTCAGTGCTAGGTATGGGCATTGTTTTAGCTCATTTTGTGCTTTTAAAGCTATACTTTAAAAAAATTGTCATACAAGTAACTTCCTAGACTTACATGAGTATTAAAAAAAAAGGCAAAGATGGAGAAGCAGAATCACAACTCACCATAATAACCAAAACATTTAATCACAGAATACCTTCTAAGTATGGAACAAGTGGAGAGAGTTGAAGTTACCAAAGCAAAAGCAAAGTGATGAAAAATATTGTTTCTTTGATATGGAAATAACAATATACTTTAGATTTAGCAACATTCACAATGATGAAGTATGCAAAAAAAATGGACTCTAGCAGATTTAGAAGAACAAATAAAATGGAGGAAATGTAATGAAAAGGAAAGAGAAAGAGGTAAACAACTCTTTGGGAGAGAGTCAAGGAAAAGTTTCCCTGGACTTGGCCAAAGGAGAAGGGAGATCTTGTGCCACCAGCAAGAATTAAACAGCAAAGCCCTCAGTGTGGACACAATGACACATGGACAAATTTGGAGGAAAATTCAATATTTCTTTGATCCAAATTGAGCCTCTAATCTTAAGCATACCAATATTTAGACATGCCAAAGAGATCTGAGAGTTTAGGATATTATTTATAAATGCGTTATTAATGATAAATTGATGCCCAAAAGACTAATTACTTGTCTAAAAATCCCAAGCAAGTTACTAAGAGAATCAAGATTAGAATTCAGATCTCCAGATAGGGGTCATTGTCCTGCCTCAGATCATTGAACTTAGACACATGTGCCTGCATGGTATTAGAAAGACACATAACCCTCTTTCCTGGATCTTTTCCTGAATCTCTGGAGGAAGCTCTATTCTTGTAATATTAAAATTTTTTTAACCTCTATTAAGTTCAGGTGGTGGTAAAACTGTTCATATTTAGTTCTGACCTCCTATTTCACATTAAATTTTAATTCCAAACTAATTAGTGAAAAGTAGAGCTATAACTAAGGATGGGAAAAAGAAACATTTTTGCACATTTGTGATGTGCTTAAGATACTTTATTCAAATAACTGATTATTGCAGCTGAGATTGGAGAATAGATGATGAGATAATTCTTTTCAAAAATAGCCATGTGAGATAAAAAAAACACGTCAGTAACCAGTTGAATTATTGACCAAGATGAATACTTTGTGTACCTGTGTAATTCTTCACACCACTAAAAAACAGGATATGCCTTTCCTCAGGTCTAGTGACTCTTGTTATCCAAAAGCAGTTTTCAGGAAGAAAAATCAACTCCTCTCAGAAAATGATAATTCATGTTTTGGGTACATTTACCTTTGGGTATACCAGCTGAGAAACTTGAATGCTTTTCTCAAAAGACTATATAGTCTATTCAATGTGTGTTCTTCCTAACTTTGACATACTCATTATAAAAAGCTATGTTTAAATCTATGTTATCTATATAAAAAAAGATAGTTTTCAGACATGATATATTTGTTTTGGGTAAAATTTTAAACTGTTGTTACCATGCAATTACTCAGTTACTCCAACATGCAAGGAACCAGTCCCTAGTTGGGCATCAGTATGAGCCTAACCCTGAGGATATTCACTCATTATGAAACCTACTACCAATATATTTTTTTCTGAACATTACCCCGTAAATTTTGTTTTCAGAAGACTGAGATTAAGGTTAAATGCTAGAAGTTCTCTGGTATTTCTTTTTTTTAAGATTTATTTATTTATTTGAAAGTCAGAATTACACACAGAGAGAAGAAGAGACACAGAGAGAGAGAGAGGTATTCTTTTTTTTTTTTTCCCAAATGGTTCACTCTGATGCTGGCCGCAACACCCGGAGCTGCGCCAATCTGAAGCCAGGAGCCAAGAAATTCTTCAGGGTCTCCGATGCGGGTATAGGGGCCCAAGGACTTGGGCCATCTTCCATTGCTTTCCCGGCCATAGCACAGAGCTGGATTGGAAGTGGAGCAGTCTTGGTCTCAAATCAGCGCCCATATGGGATGGTGGCACTGCAGGCAGTGGCTTTACCTGCTTTGCCATAGCACCTGCCCCGGGTCTCTGGTATTTCTAATGATAAACTCTTGGATGGGACATATTAGGGACCTAATCAGCATTGATTTGTTCAGAAGAGGCTGTGCTATTGGGCCTTCAGAGCTTTCCCTGGATTGGCTTAGGTTACTTTTTTTTTTCTCAAAAAAAATATGTCTACAACTTGAACACAAGGGTAGCCTTGGTGAATATTTAACAGGATTTGTTTGATCCAAAAATGAGTTTGCCAAACCCTCTAAGTGCTTCTGCATCTTTCAGCAAAATTCCTTTCTCTTTTTCAGGAGTTACCTAGGTCTTTCACCCTACTTTTCTGTAGGATGTCACAGATGCTGTTGGTAAAACCATATTTTGTCACCAGCATCAAATTTGCTCAATTCTGCTTGCTGACATTCAATCAGCTGTCATTCACAGGGCTGCAAGTCACCATGTGCCACGATCACAATGTATCATTAGCTTTGCTGCACTAATTTGGAAACATTCTCTTAGATATTAAAACTCCTTACTTCTAGCATTGCCTTAGGGATGATAGAAGGACAAAAGTACACATAGCAGTTGGTGGGAATTTAGTATTCCCAGTCACTCTTGATTTCATGAATGGCTTATAATGATTGTCAGAGATTCTTATGCAAGAGAATGGAGTTGAGGCACACCAGATAGCACCATCTTTATTTGTTCTAACATTTCTAATTTAACTTTCACATTCAGAACACAGGAAAGAAATTATACCTCAGATGAGAGCCTGAACGTCTTAGATTTTTAAAAAGGCAATTCAAGGGGTGAAGAGAAAAGAAAGAGGAACTAATTTTCATTGCATACTCACTGTGTGCTGGGCACTGCATGTGCTCTGTCTCATGATGTGTCTAATACAGTAAGGTGGCTCTCATTCTCCTCATTACACAGACAAGGAAGATGACTCCCCATAAACTGATGAGGCATTTGTTCTTTCCACTATCAAGATATAAAATGGAGTATCCATTCTGTCTGGCTTGAAAAAATAATTTGTTCCACTTTGTCATGCAGCATTAATTCTTCTTTTACCTTTTTTTTTTAATGGGACAGCTAATATAGATGGGCTTAGTTACAAAATCCCTTAGCTGCAGAGTATTGATGGCATGAATGATGGAATGAGGTGGAGTCAAATCTCTGTGGTCTCTCTTGGGTGCTGAGTAGAGAGGAAACAGAAGCTGGGCTTCTCTCTTTGGTAAACAACTGACATGTAGGTGCCTACTCTAACATGATTTTCTATGATCTATCTCCTTAACTTCATGTGGAACCTGTCCTTTTCCATCTCTTAGACTGAACATGAGACAGGGAAATTAACATGTAGAGAGTTTCTTCTCTGTGAATATTCCCCCAACTTTTAAGCAAAGTTGACAGATCTCTCAATTTGAACAGAGATAGGACATTAAAAATTGGAGTCCTTCAATTTAAAATATATACCATATTTCTACTCATTGCATAGATTGTCATTTTTAATCAACATTGTCAGAGTTACTCAACAATGGCTAAAAGCTAAAATGCCTTGAAAAGAAACACTAACCAATGCTATTATAAAAAATATTTATTTTCTGACAGAGAACCATTCCATGGACATATTTGAATAAGTGATGTGAAGTATTATATATCCCTGATGAGGTCTAGTGGATGGTATTTCTGGGGTGGATGGTGCCTATATCTGAAAGAATGAAGTAAATACTGTAGAATTTGGTGGATTTCATGTCTCTATTTTCAACCTAATGGGTCAACTAATGGTTACTATTCCAATTAGGCTCCCTTTGCAATTTTATACATTGCTTTGAAAAAACACAAACACTAATGAAAATTCTGGTTTTCCATCACTTAAAGCAAATTCTACTATGCTGATTTCCTCATGGTGATTTTTGCTGGTTGACATCAAATTAAAAATTAATTTATTTGAAATCAGAAGATTTCTATTTTATTATTGACAGATACTGTCAGCTTAAGAATATTGATGTAAGTATCTCTGTAAATCAAGCCTTTATATTAGATGTTGAGATTAAGAATTTTGATATCATGAATAGTCCTTTATCTTACCACTCAAAAATATTAATTTTTATAAATAAAAGATCCTTCAAAAAGATTATGCAAGACAAGTATTAAGAAAATTCTATGCCTGGATATAAAAATTTTGTACCAAAATTAGCTTCTCTTTTCATTCAATGCTCCACAAACTTTTTGAAGCAAACTTCAGTATCTGTGTGGTTATACATATGTTATGTGTGTGGGTGTCTCTACCTGATTTTTTGAATTGGGAAAAAAATAAAACAATGAATTATAACATAATGAAAATGTAAAAAAAATTGGATGTGTTGAACTCTCTTTTAGGGGAATATATATATATATATATATGTAACTTTGTCCACAACTGACCTTCTGAACAAAAGTATCTAAACTGGACTTTCATTCTGGATACTGTTTTCCAAACTTGAAAGAGTAATCAAACCAAATTATCAGGGTACTTATTACTCAGTTTAGCATTATGCATATGCCCTAATTCCTCTTCTTCAAACAACTGTCCAAAAGATGATAGTAGCTAAAGGAAATTGGTTTTAAAATAAGAGATTGCCAAATTAGTGAATTTTGTTATTGTACCTGAAAACAATTGTAGGTGAACAAGATTGAAACTGTGGCATATAAAGGATTTTGGAGTGAAATTGGACTTTTTTTCCTATTTAAAATTTATACAAAGGGAACAAATTTAGTGTGTGTCATATAAAGTATCTGTTTTTTGCCACTGACCAATTGAAATATAAAGAACCAAGTATAGAATTTTAAATTTCCAGGTAAAAGTCCAAAGTAGTTTCAGAATCTATTTGCATTTCTCCTGAGCTGTTAGTTAGATGCTAGATGTCATCATTCAGTTTTGTGGTTTGCCATGCATATAGATGATTTCTTCTGCCCATTACTGTCCATGCCATGCTGTTTGTGTTGAATGGCCCAATCATCTCATTTTCTTCATGAACTCTACATACATTGTCATGTTCATTTTTATTGTGTTATGTTACTGTCTGATATTTTAATATTGGTAATTATAACTTTTGGCATTTTTATAGTACTCTTGTTTTTATGGTGCAGTGAATGTTTGTATTTTAAGGAATGTGGTTGCCTTCCTCAAATGGTCAAACATATTTCTTCTTTATGATACTCCTGTGTTTCATCCTTTTCCATAATTCTCTATTATTACTTACATGTTAAATGTTTTCTCTATTGTTTTGAAAAACGTAAACATCCATTCTCCATTTGAAAATGTGCCAAAAGTACTACCCCATGTAAATATGCAGAAAAAATTACTATGAAAATGTCCACATAGTTGCAATGAATTATCTTGATGACTACAAAGATAATTATATGTTTTTTCAAGTTGTTGGCATTAATATGCACCTAAAACAATGTGTTTCTTTAAAAATTATAGAAATTTTCCATCTATGCTACATATTTTCCACTAGAAATTCTGTATCTAATTTCATATACAATCATTTTAAGATCTTTTTGAAATAAATAACATTCATGAATTAAAATAAGCTTTTTTTGTGATTTATGAAAAAGCATTTATTGATAGTCTTAATTGCTGTTGATATGCAAGGCCTTTCTCAAAACTTTAAAAGGTAGTTAAAGAAAATGAAGTCTTGAAACAGAAACAAAGACACAAACTTTCATTGAGAACAAATGAAACACAGTAGTGCTTTATTTAAATTGTTAATAGATAGTTGATATATTCTGGTAAATTCTGAGTCTTCAAATGTAACATTGTATGAAAGACACATTTTGAATTTGCAGAGAAATAGAGCTATTATTAATTCCTGTTCATCCAGCAACAAAGCAAAAGAAAAAGTCACGTAAGAAATGACACATTTACACAAGAAATCAGTTTTCTCTCCCTTCACTAGCCAGGGTTCTTGCCAGCCCTGAATCTTGAACACAAAAGCTCAGGTACGCTTTCATGTGTAATTACAAATTCATATTCTGAACCATGTCCCATCTGTGTTCCCAATATGTTAAATATCCTCCATGCAATCTGAACCAGAACTTTGGCTTTCCTAGGCTCCCAAGATTTAAGCAGACACCCATCACCAGCCTGTTATTTAAGGCTACTTAACTCGGTGGCCTTTCTGTAAGATGGCAGTAGAGGGCAATGCATACCAGTAACAAAGAACAGTTTCAGTGATCTCTTGCAGCTACCTTGTCTCATACATGAACTTGAAGCAATTAAACACAACCATCAGTAGTTTTGTTTACAGAATGTTTTATGCTTGGTTAATTGATGGGAACACAAAGCTAAATAAACTAGGGCTACTGTACAGTGTCACCCATGAGGGCTAGTTGCTTGACCATGTCACACAGCCATAGACCTCCCACCTTACTTCAGTTCCACAAGAAGTCATTACCTCTGTTGGAGTATATCAGATTACATGATAAAGAACACAATGCTGTGCTTTCAAGTAAAGAGAACATTCTAGGGGTAAGCAGTAAAACAGAAAAGAAAATAGGTGGTCCAGGTGGAAATACTTAGAAGATGTAAATGAAACAGGGAATTGTCCTAGTGCATCAACTTTCTACCTAACATTATAAATAGTCCTACTTCTTTCCCTCACTTTATTCTACAAATTGACACTCATGTTGGTTCCATAGATTAAGGGTACTTTCACTTGAAATGGTAATGTGGTCAAGCATTCCTTTGAAAGAATAAAAGGAGCACTTCAATCCTAAATTCAGAATTGAGTCTTGTAAACATTAGACAATAGTGTATTATGCCTTGCAAATATATTGCATGATCAGGAAGAACTAAAGAAGTTGCCATTAGAGTGTGTGGGATTTGTTACACATAAAAAAGCGATACTCTAACAAGTACTAACCCAGAGTTTTTCACCAAATTAGACAGAAATAAACAAAGGGTTGAATAGTACAATGAAGACTGTATTACATCCAGACAATAAGGTATTGTCTTTTTCTCTGAAGCGCTAAAAGATATCTTTATGTGTGATAACAGAAAGTTCAGGGTAATATATATGGAAGCAATAAGTGAAAATTGTGGAACAAACTATCAAAGAGTATAAATATAGACACTCTCTTTTCATAAATATTCAATACATTATTTGACACATTGGTTTGAGTGAAGCTCCACAAGCACAATTTTAAGCATCTTGATTTGGGCTGAGGTCCAGTAAATTATGTATTCCTAACAACTATCAGAGCTTTCTCACTAAAAATACATACTCACACTCCACTTTGAAAATATTCTAAGATAATTATTTCCATTTTCATAGAAACTAGTACAGTTATGACTAGCGTTGTCTCAGGTTTATAAGGGGAGAAAATTATTCTGAGATACTGTTAATAAGAGAAACTGTGGTAATAGAGGGACATTTTCTTAAAATCGTGCTAAAGCTGTCATTTTTATTCTTAATGACTTTAACTGCGCTAGACAAGATGTTATTTTCAGTCACAGAAAAAAAAGAGTATCCAATATAACTCTTTAGCCTATTGCCCACCAATCTTCTACCCCCTCCCTCCATCAACATCACAATGGGTTGAATTCAGTTTGAAAGCATAAAGCCAACATTTAGCAAACAAAATTCTCCTGACAGACAGTTGCTCATTCCCTCTAGTGAGAAAATACAGAGAATTGTAACACCTACAAAGGAGATTTATAGAATCTTCACTCTGCATGTGCCAAGGAAAACCACTTACAATTTCTTTGAGGGATGATAGGAAAGGTAAATAATTTTGAAAATGGATTTTTCAGAGTCTACAAAACCATGCTTAAAAGTAAAAGAGGTTTAATATTGGACTTTCCATAATCCTGATGTAGAAGAAGAAAGACATACACAAAAAATATAGGAATCATTTCAAATAGTCCTTCTTTCATTTGATGACTCTCTTTCTCAACATTGCTTCTTTTAAAGCTAAATTAGGCCAGATTCCCTAGTGGGGACTAGTTGTTTAGTGCTTACCACACAATGCTGTATTAGTGATGTTTTAAAAAGCAAATATCCAGGAACAAATCTAAATCTTTGTGATTTGAAGTTAGCAGACTGGATTTTAAGTTGTTCCATGTTATTCTACAGGGAAAAAGAAAGCAAGCTTGCACATCTTTCATGTGGATAACTCAAATAAGGAGTAGAAAGATGCATCTCAGGACAATAGGATTAGCTTCTGCTTTAGTGGGTGTGAGCATTTCTCAGTTCCAGTTAGTTCATAAATGCATCATAGACTCAAACTCATCAATTCTTTGCTTTGTGTTCCCTTTCCTGATTTTCCGATAGGATATTGTATTGTATCTTGAGTAAGCATTTCGGGAGATATCACTCTTCTTTCCTAAGGTTGGCTGCTCATCAGGTGTCACAGGTTGGGAACCAGGACTGCTCAGTGGGGTGTCCTCATTTACATCACCTTCCTCCTTAAATTGAGAACCCTCTTCATATTTTTTCTTAAATTCTATCACTCGAACTTCATCTTCACCATCATTGCAATCATCATCATCATTATTAATTTCTTCCTCCCACACCTCTTGCTCCTGGTCATGTTTAGAGTGCAACATGTCAGCTTGGGTAGGCTTCCGAAATCCTAACCATTCAATTTCAGTTGCCTCATAAGCTTTCTTCTTATCCATATCTTCTCTCCCTTCCCAAGGTTGTTCCACAATCCTTTCTTCTTGTCTACTTATTTCTTGGTTACTGCTGCTCAGAGGAATCTTCTCCCATTGATGTCCTGTGGGAAGCACAATACCCAGCTGTCATTTTGTTATCTCTAAATGAATTTTCTGGACAATCATTTCCCAACATGTGTTTGCTGAGATATAATTCTATGGGTTACTAAAAGTTTTCTATAAGCAGGCTACACAGTAAAATTAGTTTGGAAAACACTGGATTAAATATAGTCAAATAAGCTTCTTCAGAATCTACTCAAGCCAATGAATGTTGTAAGTCTCCAAGAAACAACTTATTTGACTACGGAACTGTGTTGCTGGATACTACTGAATTTAGCAAGAATGGAATTTTCTGAAACACACTTAAACATCTTTTCTAGACTCTACCAACTGGATATATGAATACAAAGTAAAATTTTGAAGATATCTCTCTCTCTCTCTCTCTCTACCATACACACACACACACACACACACACACGTATCCCTCAAGGAAAGTTAGACAAATACCTCAAGGGAAAAAAGTTATTTTCCAAAAGTAAAAACACTGACAGCCCATGTCTTGTCACAGTCATTAGAATAACACAATTTGTACTTGACATGTGAGTTGACTTAAAACAGCCATGTAGAAAAGGAGGAGTGGGGGCCCTTAGATTTTCAAGAATCATGCCCTGGTCTGACCTAGGCATCAAGTCCAAAATGATCTGATAACAATCTGCCATTGATTTCTTGAGCCAAGATTTAAAAATCATAGTGAGGTCATAACCACATAATGCTAGATAAGTTTGTAGTTTTAGGCATGTTTCTAATGACAATTAATTTGTTCAAGTTCTTTGGTATCCTGCAATTCCTTTTACCTGGCTTAACTTACTGCAGTCATGACCACTCACACAGCTAGATCATATCAGTATACCATCAACAATATTTACTGATCATGCTAAGAATTAATTATAAGGAAAAAGAATTAGTTTCCACCCCTAAGGGGCTTTTGTGGGAAGCCTCAATTTATAATGTATGCTACTCAGAAATGCTGTCTGGTTACCTCCCTTTCCAGATCTGGGTTCCCCACTTCCTATAGGACCATAAGAGTGTATAAATGAGGTGAGAGGTAATCTTCCTCTTTGTCCTTTCCTTTCACAACTCTCTACTTTTTCTGAAAGATGTCCACAACTTGTCTATTTTCATCTATGATTTTAAATCCTATTTTCTTCTTTTTCTGTTTTCCTGTTTTAAGATCAAATTGTAAGCTTAAAGAGATATATAAAAATGAATTATTATCCTTAACAAGTAATAAAACTCATAGCTACTGTCAGCTGTTTCCAGTCAATGTTCTATATATTATAATATGCGTTAGAAAGTTGCAATGATTTTAAATTTTGCTTCATTTTTTTGCATTTTTCCACAAGAACAAAGAATTGGATCTTTTTGTTCATATTCATGAGTCAAGCATATGATTGTCATGTATGAAATTATTCTCTGAATTTAAACTATAGTTTTTCTTCAATATATTTAGCATCTTTATATTTTTCAGTCTAGGAGATTGAAGGTTTTATAACTGGTTGTCATTGTGGAAATAAAATTTGTGCCTCTGTCATAGAGGAAAAACAAATGAATCCCCCACCAAACACCCAAGGATTCATTCAGGGAAAATATCACCACTGAGACTGTCTAGTTTAAAAATACAGACTGCTTTCATTCTTCATCTGATCAAAATGAACGATCCTAGGAAACTGTTGTTACAGTGGATCTTCTGATAAAGAAATTTGAAAGGAATTCCAGATCAAAGACGAATCTCCCTGCTTCTGAAGCCCTGGCACATTAGAAGCAGAAAGGTGAGGGCAAAGAAGTTATTCCAGTCATTGTTAGGGAACCAAGTCCTATGAATTATCTCTGGTACTGCATCAGCTTGACAATGGCTAATATTTCTTGCTATAGTTTTCCTTAAATATATACAATCGGTCCATAGAAACAGATTAAGAGGTGTCCAGCCAAATGGATCAAACCCAGGAAAAGGGTTTGCCAGTCATACCTGACTCCCTTGGCATCTACTAATATTACAACCAATGATATCTTCAATATTTGGATAGTTAAGGTCCTAAATATGCTAACCTGGTTAAGTTTAACAAGCTGACTTTAATTGAGATACATTGTTTATGACTGTGAGTGATGAAAGGAATGATGAAATAGGCTTTACTCAGGTTTTTTTTTTTTTTTTTTGGAAACTACTTGAATGTAGATGTCTCAGAAGAAGGATATAAAGGATTTTGTGTTTATTTATCTATTGAGTTTTTTGAAATTTCATAAAAGGTTATTGTTATTACCATTTTCTTGAAGAACATGATTAAGATTAACTTAATCACCTCAGGAGCAGTCTTTGACAAGAAATAGTTAACCATTTTGTACTTAGAGCAGTGGCCTAGAATTTTCTTAAAGAGTAAGTCAAATTATAAACTAAATGTCACTAGTAATCTCCTAGGACTAGCCTTTTTTTTGAAACATTTATATTTTACAAGATTCCTGACAGATTTGGAAACATAATCAAAAGGAAAGGTTGATTTAGTGGACTAACTCATTGAGAGACAGATGTCATACCAATCAGCTCAACCAGTCCAGGAGTGCAGACCTTGAATTGTATGCAATGCTTTCCAAGGTGCAATCCACAGACAACTTAAGACTCTGTTATCTGCCTATAACAACTTGGGAGTTTGAATCATTGCCTTGATTGATTTTTCAACCCCAGATTCATTAAACATTCCATGTAAAAACTGACTTTCATATTCAAATAATTTCTGTATACTAAAGTATGGTTACTGTTACCTTCTCTGAATGTCATTTCATCAACACTTGTTTCCTGAAGAGAAATGTCTGTGATAGCCTTATGAACAATAAAGAGGTTCTCTTCTGGGTTTTCTGGGGAAAAATGTATGGTTAGTATTTTAACATTTAAAATATACATAATTCAAGGGGTAACAAATTATCAACTAGATAAATCTCTTCAAGTTTAATTATGACCACTAAAAATTCTTTTTTGATCTTGATTCAGATTTTTATTGATCCCTCTTACTTAACAATTATTTAATGTGTTTGTTGATAATCTCCCTTTGATATCTATACAAAATGTGGAACCACGAATTCATCCCTAGGTATATTAGGAAGAAATTTTAAAATTCTGAATTCTCTTTGTTCAACTAATATGGAGTTATCCACAACAATAATAAATAATAGTTGTTAACAATTAACCAACACATGGTTAACATGTTAACAATTAATCAGCAATTAACCACCAACACTGTAAAAGTAGGTACTATTATTCTGCCTTCTACCAAAACACCTTGAGCTTCAGGAGACAAGGAAATCTGTTCAACGCCTATAACTCTCCTTGAAAATCCTGAGTTTATTCCTTGTGCTGTGAAGTCCTAGTAGAATTAGAGGCTACCTTTTGGAGATATTCAGCTCATTCTTAACAGTGCATGAAAACAAATCCTAAGTGAGTTTATAAATCAAAACAAGCAAATTTAGGAGAAGGGAACTACTTTACCTTTTGGAATATGCTCATCGGTGGACCAGTTGAGCAGCACATTCCCTTGTGACTTTCCACTTTCCTGCTGATTTCCTTCTGGGGGTAAATCTTCCAGACTGGGTTCTTCCCTGCAGAATGGCAGAGTACTGTTCACATCAGTTGGTTCTTCATTGATTTTAGGGATTGCTTGCTGGCCATTTTCAGGTGGTTTTTCCCCATTACATGCAACCTGACTTAATATTGCTGGAACATCCGTCATAATGTACAATTCAGTCCAATTACGGATCTTCGGTAAGCTATCTTCTCTTGCCTTCAAGTCCAGTAGTTCCAACTCCTACTCTAACAGTCCAAATATTTTACTTTGCACATAAGAAGATTCTTTTCGTAAAGGTGTCCAGACAGAGCTTGGAACAAATGCAATAGGATTTGTTAGATTTCAGGAGCCCATGAGCAAGAACCAGCCAATCACTATCTTCTTTGTAGCTCAGCAGCCTCAGTTGGGGAATTAATGGCACCCTTTCGATTTACATAAACAAACAATCTGAAGAAATCAGGCTTTTGTGTTGGCATGTGGAGGGGGACTTTGAGCTTGTCAGTCCCCTCTGGGAACAGAGATTTTTGTCCCTTTTCATAATGGCTCATTGTAAGTTTCCTTGTAACAGGAGCCACGATTGTTCCACAGCTTTAATCCAGAGAGAATGACCATCTTGAGGCATATTAGTTCTGTGTAACCAGCTTAACATTTCCAAACAGATTTTGTTCAAGTAAAACCTCAGCTATTTTGTAAAGGACAATAGCATCATTTCGTATTTATTAAAGAATAAAAACAACTTATCAAACCACCTGTATACAGGACAATTTTATTGTAAATACTTCTGGCAGCAGATTTGACAGTGTTTTTTCAGGAGACCAAGGAAGGGACTTAACACTAATGACTTTATAGCAATACCAAAACTTTCAAATTTTTGAGCAATTCATTTAGCCAATGGGTTCTTAAATTCATTTATTTATAACAACTAATGCTCAACCCTTACTTTAAAACCCTCAAGTAATTTTTCCCATAAATTTTTCACTTCTCACAATCAGAATTATTCTTTGTATTCCATATTGATAACACATGATGTAGATACAATCATATAGCACAAATATAGCCTGCTTTGGCTGCCAAGATTGATTATGTAAAGCATTTCCTATTGACTATCACTTTCTTTTTAAAGGGACAAATTAACTCTTTTTATATTTTTGTGTTCTCCTATGGTACATAATGATTCCCAAGTCTTTGCCCTTGTTGTCTCATCTTTGAAATGCCCGTCTCTTCCTCAAAACCAAGTCCTGGATGTGGTCAGCACTTCTGAGTTCTCAAAACTTATACTTTAGTATCTTTTCCCTTATGACATCATCTCTGACCCATTGGATTAAGATGGCACTCCTGTTATCCATTATCATTGCCCTTCAACTGTGATTGCACAATTGTCTACATAGTGTCTCATTCACTAACTGGAATATAAGCTTGCTGGGGGCAGGAACCATTTTTATGTTTGCATGGGGTCTCACATCTGTCTTTGCCTAAGTAGGTGCCCATAAAACTCTATATATTTGAATATGTGTGTGTGTATTTGAATCAATGAATGCATTTTTCTCCAAATAAATATATTTGACACCTTTTCTATAAGAGGAGAGGAAGAATAGAAGTTGAAGTGTAATTGTTTATTTTTCACCCTTAAAAGTGTGCCCAGGGCTGGGCCCAGTAGAGACAATCAACATCAGGGAACTGTGGTATCATCCCTACTCCCATGACCTTGGAAGACACCTCTGATATATCCTAGGACTTCCTCCTTTGTCATCACAAGCATTTCTGTATCCAGCATACTGCTTCTTTGTTTTTTATTTCTTTTCATAGCATTTATATGCCACACACTGTTCTAATTATGTTACAAATAGTAATACATTTAACCTTTAGAACTGTCCTGTGAGGTGTGTGCTAGTAATATTCCCATTTTACTGACTAGAAAAAGGAAGCACAGATTTAAGAACTTGGTCCTGGTCACACAGCCAGTAACCCTACTGAAATGTATACACAATGCTGATGAAGCCGAGTGCCATCTCTGATATGCATGTCTATGTATATTTGAATCAAGTATCCCTCAGGGATTCAGACTTTTTAAAAATATTTATTTTATTTATTTGAAAGGCAGAGTTGTAGAGAGAGAAGGAAAGGAAGAGAGAGAGAAAGAGGTCTCCCATTCACTGGTTCACTCCCCAGATGACCACAACAGCCCCACATGGCCATAATGGTCAGTGTTTGGCCAGGAAAAAGTCAGGAGCCAGAAGTTTCATCCAGGTCTCTCACATGGGTGCAACAGCCCAAGTATTTGGGTCATCTTCCACTGCTTTCCCAGGAGCATTAGTAAGGAGCTGGGTAGGAAGTAGAGCAGCCAGAATTCCAACCGGCACCCATATGGGATGCTGGTGTTACAGGTGGCAGCTCAACCTGTTACACCAAAATGCAGGCCCCAAGGGATTCAGAACTAAATGTTGTGGCAGCATAGGTGGCTGTAGCTGTAAATGGGCAGCAGAGGTCCCAAGGAAGTATCAAGAAAACAACTGCTGGCAGTGTTGAATGACACCCTCTGCAGGAAAACCAACTAGGGAGTTCACTATCGATAAAATAGTCAATGGCATCAGATGGGGACATGCAGAAACTAATATCAAAGCTTAGAAACAAACAGGCACATACTAGATTATGAAATCCCTTCAAGCAAGAAGTGATACTAACAGCTGAACACCCACAAGTGGGCATAGAAATGTAGAAATACTTAGATTTGCTTTCAAAGGAACTGTCTTCAATTACTCCCTGTTCCTTTGAAACCATCAAGTACCAAAATTCAGGAACACAGCAAAGCTTAGGGAGTTTAGGTTCATTCTCCTCCTACCCCTGGATTTCTCTTACCCTATAGCAACATGTAGCTCTTACCTATATCCTAGATTTTATGAGAATTTACTCATTTAGTTAGTTTGAGATTGTCTTTTTTTAAATGCCATACTTTGACTTTATGACATTAGAAATTTTTCAGATCTAGAAAGATAAAACAATGATACAGAGCTCTGTCAACCTCAGCTATCCAGTATGCTCAGATTCATTAAATTTTGTTTTTTATGTAGCCCTACAGAACAATGGAGATTAGGTAAATGGTGTATAGCTTTTTTATAAAAAAAAAAAAGATGGCAAAATGAAACACATTTAACACCAAGATGAATTTATCTTCTAAATACAACACAGTGTATTTTGTCCAGAAGGAGATAAATTGTCAACCATGCCTTCGAAAATATGCTGGAACTTGCACTAATGACTCTTAATTGAAACACTGCTTCATAATGAACCATAACTATTGATTTTATATAACTTACTGAAGTAGTTGGCTTTTCCTATCATTTGTTATTCTTAATGGTAAAGGACAGCATAAAAAAGTAAGGGCTATCAAGTCGGTAGGAAAATATGGTCATGAAAGGGTCATGTGAATATCCACTTTCCCTTTGTCAAGTGATAAACACTTAATGTTGGCTACATTAGGTCCAGAAACCATATTTGGAGAAACATCATAAACATTGTTCTCTAATGATGTGTGAAAGGCCAAACCACAAATTAATGTTGTGGCTAAGAGAGGCCCAGTACACAGTGCATAAAAACAAGATGTAAAAGATAACTTTTCCTCTTGACCACTTAGAGTCAATTCATTTTGTATTTTTAATGTACACAATTCAATGTATTTATTCTTTTATACATTATCTAAAATGCATAATAAAATAATTTTCATAACATATATAAACTCCTAGGCTAAAATATTTTTAAATAATTTTAATTTAAAAATATACCATATGTATAAAGTTGCACATATTTATTGCTCACCTTGTGATGTTTCATTACATGTATACATTGTGTAATTCCAAGTGAATATTTTTATCCTTTCAAGCATTTATCATTTCTTTAAAGTGAAAAGACTCAAAAATCTTATCTTATAGTTATTTAAGAGAGAAATATACAATCAATTAATATTATCTATTTTCACCATATTTGCAATAGAACCCTAAAACTTCTTATTCCTATAAAGCTATCGCCTAGTACCTGCCAATCAATATTCCCCATCTCACCCTCTCCACTTCCCTCCCAGCCATTTTACACACACACACACACACACACACACAGTATATAATTTTTAATTTTATTTAAGGTATACAAATTTCCTATATTTTATATATACATAATGAGGAACACAGTGATATCTTCCAACTTACCCTCCCTCTTGCCCACACTCTCACACTTCTTCCTCCTCCCTCGCCTATTTCTATTCATATTATTTTACAAAGATATATTTTTAGTTAATTTTGTACTCGTAAGATTAACCCTACACTAAATAAAGAGTTCAACAAATAGTATGGAAAAAAAATCACTATTCCTCAACAATAGAGACAGGGCTGTAAACAATCATCAAACCTTAAAGTGTCAGTTTCATTATTTTTAACTACTATAAGAATACTTTTATTTTTAGACTCCACATATGACTGAGATCATGTGATATATATCTCTCCATATTTGGATTACTTCATTTGACATAATGAACTCCAGTTCCATCCGTGTTGTTGCAAATAATAAGATTTTATCTTTTTTATTGCTCAGTAATATTCTATTGTATATATGAACCACATTTTTTTTATCCATTCACCAGTTGAAGAACACTGAGTTTGCTTCCATTTCCTGGATATTGTGAATAGAGCTGTAATATGCAGGGGAGTGCAGATGTCTCTGTGATAGATGGATTTCATTTCCCTTGGACATATACTCAGGAGTGGAATTACTGGGTCATATGGTAAACCTCTTTTTAGATTTGACTGTACTAATTCATATTTCCACCAACAATGCATAAGAGTTTCCTTTCTTCACATCCTCATCAACACTTCTTATCTTTTTAATAATAGCCAATCTTAGTGGAATGACATGATATCTTATTGTGGTTTCTGTTTGCAGCTTTCTGATTGTTAGTGATGTTAATCATTTTTTCATATACCTATTGGCTATTTGAATGTCTTCTTTTGAGAAATGTCTGTTTAAATCTGAGTCACATTTTTAAATTGGATCATCTGTTTTGCTACTATTGATTTTGAGTTCCTTATATTTTTCTGGATATTTCTCCCTTATTAGTTGTGTAGCTTGAAACTATTTTCTCCCATTCTGTAGATTTTCTCTTGGCTCTTTTATCATTTCCTTTGTCATACAAAAATCTCTTTAACTTAATGAAATCCTATTTGTTGATTTTTGCTTCATAAAAGGCTGTTCCTTAACAGTCAAGAGAAGTCATTGCTTTTCAAAGTGTCACTTACATTTCTACATGTTGCCTTTTAGGTACTCTGTTAGTTATCACAGGTCAGGAGAAGCATATCGAATTTGTCTGTTTGGGATTGGCTTATTTCAATAAATATGATGTT